CCTCCTGTTATCTCCTGTGGAGGGACTTCCTGTGTATTAAGATTGTGAGGGGCTGGGGTGGTGGCTCAGTGGTAGAGCGCTTGCCTAGCATGTGTGCGGCATTGGGCTCGATTCTCAGCACCAAAATAAATAAAATAAAGATCAATCAACAACCAATTAAAAATATTTCTTAAAAAGTCGGGAAAAAAAAAGATTGTGAGCAGCTTACTCGACAAAATGTCAAATCACACAGGCAATAAATGAACACAAAGCTGACCAGCATTTGTTTAGGTAGTGGGCAGAGGACCTCAGGCCTCTTTCCACTATCCCTGCCCTTGAGGAGCTGAGCTGTCTGTTTGGAGCAGACCATATCAATAAAGACAGGCGTGTAGAAAACAGGGAGGTGATGGGCCTGAAAACCACACACAGAGTGAAAGTAAAGGGGGCTTGGCCATGGGAGGAGGGTGCCCGGGAACTGAAATTCATAAAGGAGGGTCCTGGGAAAAGGGAGTCGTCTTCTCAGACGTGATGGAGGGAGGAAGTGTGGTGAGATCGGATTTAGCTCAGACAATGGGAAACCCTCATGCCAATGGGCTTCCTTGAGGGATGGGTTGCTGGAGGCCAGAGGAGAGGGAAGCGGGGGACAGGCCAGGCCCCAAGTCTGGAGGGCTTCCTTTCAAGTGGGCACAACCTCAGACACTCGGTGGCCCACTGTGGGCTGGGGCCTGGGCTGGGGCTGTAGAGATGGATCCGAGTCCTGGCCGTGAGGTGCCCCTGGTCCCCCGGGAGATGGCGTAAGCTGGCCTGTGGCCTGGGGGCTACTCTGTCTCTGATGTCACCGTTGGCTTGCAGGGAAGCCAGCGAAGGCTGGGGCCTCCCTGCTGAGGCAGAGCTTGAAGGGGCCTTCAGTGCAGAGTGGACAGAGGCTAGGGCCGCTGCACTCAGGGAGTGGCCCCTGCCCCTCACCCCCGACCTGGGCTTCGCGGGGTGGAAGCATGGCAGGCCTGTGTCATCTAAAGGGTCACCAGCAAACCCTGGCTGGGGCTCGGGGCGGGGAGCTGGCAGGCCTGGGCCCAGCCCCCTGGGCAGCGGAGGAAGGGAAACCCGCCTGGGGGCCAGGTGAATGCGAGCACAGGGCCCGAGTGGCCACCCCCGGCCTCCTGGAGCTGCCTTGAGTTTACCACGAGGTCATTCCGTTGTCACAGCAGAGTTGGTCTCACCTTCCCCATACCTGGTGACAGTGAGAACCAAGGCCATCGGGACGCAGGTGGGCCTGGACCTTGATCACCGGGTCCCCATGCTGCAGCCCATGGGCTTGTTCTCGGGTTCAGACCTGGAAGCAGGGAGAGCAGGCAGGTCACAGCGGGTGTCAGGCTGTGCATGGTTAAACCCAACGGCCTCTTTTTTTTTTTTTTTTTTTTTTTTTTAACAAAATGAACTGATAATCGATAACATTTATTGATTGGAACCATTGACCACCAGGCTGTGAAGATCTGGAGGAGAACACTTAGAGGAGAGTTTGTCTTGGCTTTGCCTGGGAAAGTCACACCTTGGAGAGGTGCAGAGAGGAGCTTGGGTGGTGGCTCTTTTACTGAGCAAATGACTGAATCTCTCTGCACCTCTGTGTTTCTTATCTGTAAAATGAGGATAGTAGAACCTGCTGTGTAGTGTGTGGGTCACAGAGGGCAATGCTTCCAGAAAGTTCTTCATGAGTAATGCAACTGTCGTTGTTAATGTGATCAACCAGGAAGTTGTGCACAGTGCTGGGGAGGAGTAATAATAGGGATGAGGTAAGAATAGGAACACTTCCTGTTCCTGAGCACCTACTGTGCGCTGCTGTTGGCCTCCGGGGCCCTCAGTGGAAGAAGCCCATGCGCTGTCACAGCCTGGCATGGGGTGGGGAGGAAGGAGGTGTATCCATTCCTGCACTCAGCACCCACTAAGAGCCAGGCCCTGCATTAGAGAACATTCCAGAAAGATGCACCAGCAGAGGTGGCAACTGCCCATCTCCCTGCCCTGCTGCGGGATGGATGCACCTTTTTGTGTCCTGTTGAACAGTTCTCTCTGGCCCACAGCTGTCTGGGGTGTGTGGGGACGGGCTGGGGACGGACAGACCTTACTAGACTTGCTCCTGGGAAATATCAGGAAAGCGGCCACCGGGTTCATCCTGGACTCAGAAATGAGAGCCCATGTCAGACCCGGGCACACAGGAGGCGCCCAGTAAATGGGGCTCCTCACCAACCTTTATGAAGTTTGGATTTTCACTCTGGTCCTTTCAGCATCTCAAGGGGAAGCAGAGCTTAGTTAGGGTGGGGGCTGCATTTTTGTCTTGGGGGGTCATGGGCAGGGGTCTTCCATGAGATGTGTCACAGGATGGGGGCAGAAACTCCCCTAAGTGGGGCCTCCAGGGAGGATTTCCCTGTGTTCGTGGGTCTGCCTTCTCTGCCCTCACTGAAGGGACTTGCGGGGACAAGGGGGCAAAGGTGAGCCTCAGTCCAACAGCAGGCCCGTGCCTGGTGGGATTCCACCGTCCACTTAGGTCCTGGGTGCTGATGGCAGTTGAGTCTCCAGGATACCCCAGAGCAGCCCCCTTCAGATCCTGTGGGGAAGGGGCTGTCACCTTGTGAAGATGCTGCTTCCGATTGCTCTGGCCCAGCCTGAGGTGTTCGCACTTCTCCTGAACCCCTGGTGACAGTGATGCTGCCACCCTCTGAGAAGAAGGCAGCGGAGACCATCCCTGCCACGCCCACTCACCACGCTCTGCCCCTGAGTGTCTCCTGCGCCAGGTCTGACACTGTGGCTGCGGCTCTGCCCCAGGGCTTTCTTTGGCTACCAGCCAACTCGTCCTGGACCACAGAGACAGGTAGGAAGTACCAAAGCAGCGGTGGCTGGTGACTGGTGGACCTCCAAGTCCCCGACTGACTCCCAAGGTCTGCAGGCACCTCCTGAGGCCGACTCTCTTTATCCGGCTCCTTCCTTTTCCAGAACTGCTCCATGCACATCTTTGTCTCAAATCCTGCTCCTGCAGAGAGCAGCTGCCAACCGGGTCGGTTACAACCATTTCTGGGCCTCTGAGCAGAAGGAGGGTTGACTGGAGCCTCTCAGGAGGTTCAAGGACCCCACTCAGAAACCAGAGAGGAGTCTGGGCTTCCAGGAGCAGGAAGTGCAGTAACTGGGGTGGTCCCGCCTGGGGCTGCCACCTCCCCCTCCCTCCGTCTTTTTGATGTCCAGCTGCCTGTGCCTGTGGTCAGTGGGGGATGGGGCACAGCCCCTACTAAGACAACCCCACAGGGAGTTACCTGTAAATACAGATTAGAAGTAGGATGCTGAGTGCACCCTCCCCCAAACATCCTGTTGACGGCAGCCCTGGGGGGCACCAGGGACAAGCGCAGGCGGTGGATGAAAAGGATGTTGTTGATGAAAATGCTGAGTGGCACCTGGCCCCAAAGAGGCAGTTCCTCCAGGTGGCCTGCAGGCTGGGTGTGCTCCAGCACTGACATGGCCCTCCAGAGGAGGATGTGGCCTTGGCCTTGCTGCGGGCACAAAGTCATTTTACTTTCGATTGCTCTTTGCATCAGGAATCCTCCTCTTGTCCCAGGGACTTCAATGGAGTGGCTATGTATCCTGTCAAAGGAACAGCGGCATGCTATCGGTTCCTCCTCCTGTTCTGGAGGAAGGCTGCAGGAGCAGGCGCAGGCGGCGTGCCAGTGCCACCGCCCTGGGGATGCAGATGGGAGAGGCAGGGGACTCCAGAGCACAGGTCCTGCTTCCCAGATCTGAGAGATCCGAGTGTATGAGAAAAGGGAAGGACAGGCCCTGAAGGCAAACTGGCTGAGGCTCTGCAAGGGGGTAGCTCCTGCCTCTGCAGAAAAGAGCAGACTTTGGACTTGTCCCCTCACTCCAGAGCTGGTGACCCACCGCGGTCTCTTCCTCTGAGGACTCTGGTCTCCGCGTCTGGTTTTATGGGTTGGAGTCCAGGCCCATTTCTCAGTCGGGAAAGACCTGTTCGCAGTAGCTCAAGTCAAGGAATCCGAGAAGGGACCTTGCACAAGAGCTGGCCTCTGAGAGCCGAGGCCGGAAGGCAGGGGTGCATTGCAGGCTGAGCCAGGGGCCCAGGCGCTGGGTTGGGTTCCTGCTCGCCCTCCTGCCCACTTCTCTGTCGTGCCTTCTGGTCCTCTCAGTGTTGGTTCATACCTTGGTGATGAGTTCCACATTGGTCAGCGGCCAGTCTGAGCTTGTGTTCCTTGGGGAGGGACCTGCCCGAAGCCCCTTGCCCTCGATCTGCAAGAGTGGGTGCCAGTGGTACCAAGGTGTCTGTATGGACAGCAGGAGCTGGGGCGCGGGCTGGCTTCTGGGAAGCGGTGTAGACTCACTGGCAATGATGGGTAGGGGGCAGGCCCTCGCCCCTGGAAGTGGATGTCACCGTGGAGTCTCTGCAACAGCTTTTGCATGGTATTCCCTGGCGTTGGTTTTCCATGACTGGCCAGGGTGTCCTGCATCCCCGTTTTGGGGGGCTCTGTAAATCACAGACTCTAGAGCCCCATCTCAGACTCCCACAGGGCAGACCAGAGCTGACAGTCATCATGAATGCCCACCCAGAGCATCCTTCTGTGAAAAGTCTGAGGGTCCCTGTCGGCTCTTTGAAGTGCCTGCCTACGCAGGGGCTTCCTTTCCCATCTTAGCCAGGAACTCCGCTCGCCCTGGATTTGCCCCGGAGATCACACTCTGACCTCTTCTTCCCCAACCCTTGGGAGGGGGCTTCACGAAGACCTGGGCTAGAGGTTGCATGGGATGGATTTCAGGAGGAGGCTGAATCCAGAGAGGCAGGACCAGGCCAGGGCAACTGGGGTGGGCCCTTCCTGTGAGACAGCATTTAAAGGGAGTCCAGCTCCCTGGTCCGAGGCTGACCAGCTGGGCATGACACCGAAGGGCTGAGCCAGTGCTGAGATTCCAAAGATGGTGCTGGCACCCATGGTGATGTCCAGTGACCCCTGTGACCCTCTGTCTTTCTTCTCCATCAGGTGTGCGTCTTGACCGAGTGCGTGGAGGCCGCCAGAAGTACAAGCGGCGGCTGGATTCGGAGAGCAGCCCGTACCTGAGCTTGCAAATTTCTCCACCCGCTAAAAAGCCACGTACGTACCAGGCCCGTCCATGCCGGTCCATGCCCTTTCCCAGTATGTGTGCCTGGGACATCTGGTGTCCTGTGGGGAGGTGGCATGGAGCAGTGTGGGTCTCAGGGAGGGGTGCTATTGCCTGGTTCCCCCAGAAGGCCTTTCCAAGAGGGGTAGACCCTGATCGAGGCTGGGAATGAGACAGGGTCCCAAGAAGTCACAGGTCTCAGCATCCAGGCCTGCCCTGCTTACCAACCCACGGTGAGGCTGCAGGGTCCTCCCTGGAGAATTCACCAAAACTCCCGTGGAAAGATACTTCTCGACCACAGGTCACTGCTGTTAGCCACTCTATGGGGTCAAAATGGCAGATGTTCCAGCCCCATGTGACCTTCCTGAGGCTCTGTCTGTCTTTCCTCCTTCACCATCTGGGCTCCACCTGCCCTTCCCTCTTTCCTGGGTACTTACCTTGTCCCCTTTTGTCACTGCAGTGACCAAGATTGTCTCATACCTCCTGGTGGCCGAGCCAGACAAGCTGTACGCCATGCCCCCACCTGGTATGCCTGAGGGGGACATCAAGGCCCTCACCACGCTCTGTGACCTGGCAGACCGGGAGCTTGTGGTCATCATCGGGTGGGCCAAGCACATCCCAGGTGAGTCATGGGGCCCTGGGGAGAGTGTGGCGAGGGGTTGTCGGCCAGGTTCCCTGGGCCACCCCATTCCTGGGGTACTGATGCATGTCCAGGAAGCCTGGGACATCTTTCAAGTCTGTTCTTCCCTGGGGGCGTGCTCTTCCCAGTGGGGTTAGAGAGGCGCCCATGTTTGGAAGGTCCACTGGTGTTCACAAGCTGCTAGGGGTTCTTTGGAACTGTTTATCATTCTGGATGGGGCTGTGATTGGATCTGCAATTGGTAATATTCAAAGAATAAGTTCCTCGAATCCTTAAAGGATAAAGAGCAGGGTTTTCTTCTAGACCTTATTGGAATCACATGGAAAGCAGCTCGCAGGAGGTGAGCGTCCCTTCCTCCATATTAGAGGCAGGCAGAGAGGGGCAGTTCGGAGCAGCGACTGGGGGATCAGATCAGATTCACAGTCTGGGTCTGCAGCCTTCGGGTACCTCATCTGTGGCTTTGACATAAGGAGGAGATGAGAGCATGGCACGGAGCATCGGGCACGGGGCCTGGCACGTGCCAGTGTCAGCCGCATGCTGACAGTGGCCACCTGCCAGAGCCCTTTGCTGGGGCTACCTGTTTTGGGGGGTGGGGGTACCGGGGATTGAACTCGGGGGCACTCGACCACTGAGCCATATCGCCAGCCCTATTTCGTGTTTTAGTAAAGACAGGGTCTCACTGAGTTGCTTAGCACCTCGCTTTTGCTGAGGCTGGCTTTGAACTTGTGATCCTCCTGCCTCAACCTCCCAAGCTGCTGGGATTACAGGCCTGGGCTGCCTCTTTATATGAATGAAGCTGTGAATCTAAGGTGTTTCTGGCATGGGAAGTATGTGCCACCTGGACCCACGCCCTGCTGTAAGCCTCTGGGCAAAGGGTGTGAGCTGATTATTTTCTTTGTGCCTCCACACATCTGGGACCTTCCTGCTCCTGGTGCTTTTTACTCCACTCCTTTGCTTCAACAGTGTGACTCAGGGCGAGGAGACGTCGTCCTGTTACCCTTTGGCAGGGACCCTGCTGTAGGCTCTGGCTCTAGCTGTGAGACAACATTCCCATCTGCACATTTTTTTTTTTTTTTGGTTCGCTTGTCGCAGCCCTGAGAGGTGAATACAGCATGCATGATGATATAGCAAAGGTGTCCTAGCCTTCAAATGCCAAGCCTGAGGTTGATTGAGGTGAATCAGAAAGTCCCGCGTGAGCCTTTGCAACAACAGCTGACAGGAGGGAGCCTTCATGGGATGCGGGCTCACAGAGAGACTGGGTGACCTGGAGGTCCTATTGGCTGACTGCTAGCTGGCAGGAAGCCTGGGGGACTCCCTGGTGGCCCTGGACATTCCGACTCGGGCGGGTTTGCCAGGGACCCGGCTGGTGTGCCCTTGCTAAGGAGCTCAGCCTCCTGGAGATTACACACTGAGAAGTTTTTCAATCTGCCCAGTGCTGGCTCAGCACAGACATGGGGTCAGGCCACTGCTAAGCCCCCTCAGCCTGGATTGCTCCACTAACCTAGGGCCAAACTGCGCACATCTACCCCTGCCTGTCCCCGTACCCCTATTCCTGGTCAAGAAGATACTGCATCCTAGAGATGGCTTAGGAGTGGCACCTGGTGGTTCCTTCCATCACCCCACTCCCATAACACCTCCTACGGAGGGGAGTAGGACCAGGAGAGTCCGTCTCCCTGCCCCCATTCTTCTCCCATCTGGGAGGGGCAGGGCAGAGTGGTTGCTGGGGACATGGAGTAGGTGGCCTGGGCTCCATCCCAGCTCTGTCCTCCCTGGCCTTGTGCAAGATACCTGGCTTTCCCAAGCTTTAGCGTCCTCATCTGTAAGATGGGGGTCCTGATGGAGTCCCCGTGGGGGGACGCAGCCCATCCTGTGGCCACTTGGTGATGCCCGACGGTTGCCGTGGTTGTCGTCATCACCCATGAGATCTCCGTCGTTTCTCCTCATCCAAAGTTGAATTCCTTTGGATTAAAAGAATAAAATAAATATAAGGGCTCATTTGTCTGTCTCAATTGCAAATTTTCCTACTTGGCATTAATCTGCAAGCTGAATTATTTGCGTCTGACCTTCCAGTGTTTAAGGTAAAATTAATTAGTGAAGTCTTCTGTCCCCGCATGCAGACCTCACGGTACGGACAGTGGCACCCACTGCCCAGTGTTTGAACTAATCGACTTAATTCCATCTCAGATGACAAGGTGAGCTAGCCCTGAGAGAGAAAGAGAGAGAGAGAGACGGGCAGGCGGAGGCCACCCTGAGACTGTGTTGGCTCCTATCCACTTTGTTTCTGGAATGGACAGAAAGAAGAACTGGCCACTTCAGACTGCTCAGGACTAGATCTCTGGAGAGGCTGCTGTCTTCAGCAACAGGAGACCATGTCCCTTGCTTCAGTGTCTTCCAGTCTCTAGTCCAAGGCCAGGCACACAAAAGAGCACTACACACTTGGCCTTGGTGTGCACAAAGTGTGCACTCACTGTGTGTAGGGTCTCCTGCTTGGAGTTGTAGCTGGGACAGGAGTTGCAGGAGGGCTCTTCGTTTGTGGGAGATACGCTCCAAGAACCCCCATGGAGGCCTAAAACCATGGATGGTTCCAAATCCTGTCCAAATACAGTATTGTCCCCTGTATGCACTGCCGCATTGTACCCTGTATGCACTGTCAGAGTTAGTCTGCTCTTCTGTGTTTTATGCTCTGGTGCCTCCTTTGCATTACTGCTCTTGTGCTTTGGGACCATTATTAAACAAGGATGCTTGAACATATGTACCGTGTCAGTTGCCCTGGTAACTTAGATGTCTACTAAGTGGTGAATAGGGTGGGTAGCATATACAGTGTGGATACACTGGAAAAAGAGATTATTTCGTGTCCTGGGCAGAATAGAGCAGGACGGCATGAGGTTTTGTCATAGGTCTCAGAATATTATACAGTTTAAATTTGATCCATCATTTATTTCTGGAATTTCCCATTTAATATTTTAGAATGGTAATTGGCCTCAGATAACTGAAACTTTAGAAAGTGAAACCTCAGATAGGAGAATGGACTACTGTAGATTAATTTCTGCCCCAAGGATCTCACTGGACCAAGGACGAGTTCCATGGGGAACTCAGGGAGGGTTGTGATTTGCTCAGAATGGCAACCCTAGTTCAGTTCAGTCTGAGGTTGAATTTGTCAAGTATTGGGCTGCTTGAAGGGTAAGCGTCTTCAGAGTGCCCACCTCTTATTTCCTGTGAGCAAGAAATTAGGACAAGAGCCAGCATCCTTTAGCAGGCGGAGAGAAGCTCTTGATGAATTGAAGCCTCCACACATGACTAGCAGGTCACCCACCCTCCCACGCAGGCTGGGCGGCCAGGCCAGGGGAGCCTTCATGGGGAGTCACCACTGCCCCTGCCCGGTCCAGGCTGCATGTTCAGGGGCTCCCCAGAGGCCTCCTCAGCAGGGTCCCTGGGCGGCCTGCTCCCAGGTAGCTGCCGTCTGGCTGGATGAAAGATGAGCTGCCGAGTGACAGCAGCTGTGTCTGCAGTGGCCCCAGATCCTATAATTACATCTCCCTTTATTACCTCTCTAATGGCCCTCCAGGTCGGCTGAGACCACCATAAATTAACAGATTATGAACTCCACTTGCCACAAATTATGTGCTTTCTTTTTCCTTTTTTTAAATTCTAGATGCTCCTGGTGCCAGATCACGGGGGGATGGGGCCTGGGCAGAGCACGGAGGCTGTTAGATCTGATGGTGCAGATAAAGAAATTTTCTGGGGCAGCAAAGCCCCTGGTGGGAGGCCTTCGACCCAGGGGCCTGGAGTGGCAGTGCTGCCCAGGGTCAGCCCCACCCCACCCAGCAGCCCTGCTCTCCCAGGGACCCAGCCACACCCACAGCTTCTCCCAGTGGACAATGCCAGGGCCTCCCTGGCTTGGAATCTCTGACTCCCTTGGAGGAGGAGACCCAGCCCAGGTTAGAAAGGTGGAGGTGGAAAGAGCTTTCCTGAAGCGTGGGGGAGTGCTTCAGCTGCTTTGGGTTTAAAATAAAGGAATATGTGAAGAGGTCAGATATGGTGGAACTAAGCCTCTCCAATCCCCCATTTGAGCACCCTTCTGGAAATTTCCTATATGTGCACAACATTGTGAAGTGTCTCCACCCCCACCCCCACTCCAACAGTGCTTACACTCGGTTTTTCCTTTAATTAGACCAAATGGTAGCACTTCCCGTGTGCTGGCAGAGTTCTGGTGTTCCACGTGTCAGCGCATTGCATCTGAACCACCCCCCAAAGTCAAGTGCTATGGTTTTCCCATTTTACAGATGAAGAAATGGAGGCTCAGAGAGGCGGGCTTGCCCAGGGTCATCTCAGGTAGTCAGCAAGCAAAGATTCTGACGTCCAGCCCAGAGTCTGTGCTCCCAATGCCCTCTTTATGCTCTTGGGTATTTTTGCCTTTCCACACAAACAGTTCTACTTCTTCTTTTATTTATTTATTTATTTATTTATTATTGGTACTGGGGACTGAACTCAAGGACACTCAACCACTGAGCCACATCCCAAGCCCTATTTTGTATTTTATTTAGAGACAGGGTCTCACTGAGCTGCTTAGCACTTCACTGTTGCTGAGGCTGGCTTTGAACCTGCTATCCTCCTGCCTCAGCCTCCTGAGCTGCTGGAATCACAGGCATGCGCCACCGTGCCTTGGCTTCTACTGGCTTCTACTTCTTTCTTTCTAGTAGTTTCTAATATGCCATTCATTTAACTGAACATTGTATTTATCTAATTAAGTGTTTCACATGAGTTACGTGTAGGTTGTTTTCTGTTTGTGATGTTTCAAACAGTAATGGAATCAATACCCTGTTACATTAATCCTTGTGTATCTTTCTGGGAGATACTCTTTTGAGAGGTGGAAGTGCTAAATTGAAAGGAGTATGCCTGTTGTTTTGTCTTTGATTAAACTGTATTTATGATTTAACTTTATTTTCGAACATGTTGAACTTTGACATGATTGAAAAGCCAAAAGTACGTTAAAATGTGCACGCAGATACCCCACCTCCATCCCGTGCCCTCCTAGAGGGAACCGTGTTTGTTTCTCATGTTTTTCTTCTAGTGTTCCTTTTTTCAAATAATAGGAAGCATTTGAACTATTTTAAAAGTTAGATGATGGCCAACATTTCTTTCCTTCCCCACATGGAGCAGTGTGGCACTCTGGAGCATCTGGTAGAATCTTCTCTTCTCTCCAGGACATTTGCATGTTCAAGGAGGAGGAGAGAAATCGGGGGCTGAGCCCACTGTCCACACCAGCCTAGCAGCGAGGTGTTGGGGGGACAGCACCCCAGCTGTGCCTGCGCACGGGGCACAGAACTTTCCAATAAGGTGCCCCCAACTCCCACCGAAGACCAGGTTGATTCCTGAGTCTTACACGATGGTGGGCAGAGGCAGCTAAGTCTGAATCCGAGTCCAAGGATCAAAGGCACTCGACACAGTGCTTTATTGTCTTGTCACCTGGGGGACGTCCAGTCTCTCCTCCGCTGGGAACAGGGGTTGGGCCCTGCTCTGCTGCAGGCCCAGTGCTTGGCAGTGGAGTACAACAGTCCAGTGTGCTCAGTGTCGGGTGTCCTCAGCATCCTCCTGCAGAGCTCTGTCCCCAAGTCACCCTTCTGCAAAGCCTCCCCAGGCCCTCTCTGGCACATGGTCCCATTGCATGTCCCCAGAGCTGTCCACTCTCCATTGCTCTTCTTATGGTCATAACTATGTGATCGTTCGTGACCTTTGGTGATTCAGGAAGCCCCCCTCTTCACCACGCTGTCTTGAAGACAGGGAGCAGTTCTGGCTGGAGCCCTCTCTCTGTCCCGATGGATCTCCGTGGGTTCCAATAGCCCTTTGAGCTCATCTCGCTTCCTGTTGAGTCCCCAGTGAAGCAGAGGCCCGGCACTTAGTAAGTGCTCAGTGAATATGTGTCGACTGACTAAAGGAGCAGACCCATGGCGCCAGCTCTTGTAAACCTCCTACCTGGGTGATCAGCCCACAGGGGCTCTCCTCCTGCGTTTCCTGAAGCCTGGCTCTTGCCCGGCCCTCCCTTTCTGCCACCTCCAGCGGGGCTGTCTATTAATCTCACCCCTGCCCTCCTCCTCCATCCTCCCTGCCAGTCTGCCGGCCCAGACGCCCCTCGCAGTGGGGTCCGGCACTTCGCCACACACCCTCCCGTGCGGGCTGATTGGTATCTGTTAATTAATGTCGCCCAGGGCCTCTCTCGTACTCAGAGACCTGATAAGGGAAATTGAATGTCCATTTCTATCTATCTTTTATTACCTCCCGACTCCCCCGGCCCCCACGCACCCTCGCCCATGCTGGGGATCTAGATGGTGACACACACACAGCTGACCCCTCTGTGTCCCAGCCTCTCCCCAGAAGGCATATCAATCAGCTCCTCACCCCGTGTGGGTGGCTGCAACCCTTCCCACTCTCTGGCTGATCTCCCTGTGTTCCAGTAGCCCATTGGTGACCCAAAGCCCAGGCTGTTCAGATGGGACCAGGTTAAGGACAGCCTGCCCGGTGAGGTGGCCTGCCTCTCCAGGAGCGCCCCCTAGGGGTGGAGAGTCACACACTGGTTGGAAACCAGGGACAGATGAGGGGGGATGGATCACAGAAGCCAAGGAGATCAGCCATGAAAAACAGGGTGCACCCAGGCCACAGGCACATGCAACGGGAAGACAGGAGTGAGACACATCAGGTGTCCGGGACATCAGCAGCTTCGCAGCGCCCGGCTGAGGGCCACTGAGAGCCGCCGTGTGCTGGGAGTGCTGCTGGGTGTTCAAGTGCATCTTTTCAACCTCAGGACACCGTGACATCAGCAAATGGCAGCCAGGCAGGGCGAGCTCCTACGTCAGCAGATCCCTTCAGGGGCAGAATTACCCCAGAAAAAAAAAATCCCTTAATTTCTGTAGCCCGTCGTGCACGGAGTCAATGGCTTTGTGAACGCTCTTTCTCCTTTAAATCAACGTAGCATGTCAGTGTGGGAAGCATCCTGCAGCCCCTGGGGAAGGTACTGCCTCATGTTTAGTAGTTAAGATGTGTGGCCAGGCATGGTGGCTCTCGCCTGTCATCCCAGAGACTCAGGAGGCTGAGGCAGGAGGATCACAGGTTCGAGACCAGCCTTAGCAACTTAGGCTGTAAGCGATTTAGCAAAATCCTGTCTCAAAATAGAAAATAAAGGGGTCTGGGGATGTGGCCCAGTGGTTGAGTGCCCCTGGGTTCAATCCTTAGTACAAAAAAAGAAAAGCTGTATGAGAATCAGTGACCTTACTCTTTCTTTCTTGGCCTCTTGTTAATCAAGATGTTAATTGGCGGTGCCTATGTCAAGTACATATATAATGCAGTTCCAGTATGTCATCTTCGTTTGACAAATGTTGGCCTTAGCTCATATTAATAAGAGCCCAACAAATTCTAATTATGTCCTCCTGTCCTCACCATCTCATTTAGACTCCACAGGAACACAGGAGAGGAGGCTGAGGCCTGGCACTTGTGAGCCCACAGAGAAGCTGTGCTAGTGAACCGGGAGAGGGGTTCCAGCCCAGGCCCAGTCCAGGGCAAGGCGGCTTCCTGGTTCTGGAGGCACTCCTACCCAACCTCCATTCACTGTGGAGTCGGCCTTCTTGCTAGCAGGGAGGGGGAACCCCAGTGACCCCCCAGGACAAAACGTTGTTGAAGGAGAGTGATGTACTCAGAAGGCTGAGGCATGAGGATGGCAGGGTAGAGGCCAGCATGGGTGGCTTAGCAAGACCAATGTGGAGCTCTGGTCATGTAAGTCCTTCCTGTGAGTTTTGAGTGTGGCTCATTCACCATGGAAGGACGTGGGTTTAGCAGCTACCCAGGAATGCCCCCTGCAGCAGATTCTGGCAGTGCCAAGGACAGAGCCTGCCCCTGATCACCGCTGCCCTCCTCCCGCAGGTTTCTCGAATCTTTCTCTGGGCGACCAGATGAGCCTGCTGCAGAGCGCCTGGATGGAGATCCTCATCCTGGGCATCGTGTACCGCTCGCTGCCCTACGATGACAAGCTGGTGTACGCCGAGGACTACATCATGGACGAGGAGCACTCCCGCCTGGCCGGGCTGCTGGAGCTCTACCGGGCCATCCTGCAGCTGGTGCGCAGGTACAAGAAGCTCAAGGTGGAGAAGGAGGAGTTTGTGACGCTCAAGGCCCTGGCTCTGGCTAACTCAGGTAGGGGCCACATGGGGTCCGCAGCTGCAGTGGGGGAGCTGCAGCCGCGTCTCTGGGCTGTAAGGCGGGCTGCGAAGGGTGGAGAGGGCCGAAAGGTGCTGCCCCTGTTGTCCGCAGCAGAGACGGGGCAGAGCAGGTAGCCAGGAGTTGAGAAGACGGTGACATTCAGCTCTAAATGCTGCTATCATTGACTTTTATGAGGTGCTGAGGATCGAACCCCGGGCCTCACATGCACCAGGCGAGCGCTCTACCCCTGAGCCATAACCCCAGCCCCTGTTTTTTTTTTTTTTTTGCCACTGGGGATTTAACCTAAAGGTGCTTAACCACTGAGCCACATCCCCAGCCCAGCCTTTGTAAAAATATTTTATTTAGACAGAGTCTTGCTGAGTTGTTTAGGGCCTCGCTGAGTTGCTGAGGCTGGCTTTGAATTCATGAACCTCCTGCCTTAGCCTCCTGAGTCACTGGGATTATAGGCATGTGCCGCCACATCCAGCCTGTATCTAATTCTTACCAACAGCCCTGTGAGAAATTTTTTAATTATTGGAGCCACATTTTACAGATGTGAGAACTGAGGCTGGAAAAGTGAAGAAAGACGGTCCAGGGTCACAGAGTTAAAAATAACAAATGTCCAGAGTTAAGACCCAAACCAGGGTCACCTAATTTCAAAATCAGCCCAAGCTTTTATCTACTCCTTAAAACTTTCCATCAAATTGCTTGAACACATGAAAATGAAACCTTTCCAAATGAACCATTTAGTCTGTCGTCTAAAAAGGAGGATTCCCAGGCTGGGAACGAGGCTCAGTGGTAGAGCATTTGTCTAGCGTGTGCAAGGCCCTGGGTTCAGTTTCCAGTACCACCTCTCCCTCACAGAATGCCCCCAGAGAGGGAGGATTCATCCCATTTAACCATTTACCAACTTCTGGCTAGATTACCTAGGGTAAGGGGGCGGACTGGGAAATGGTGAGTGAACTTGAATGTGTCCATGTGTGCACTGAGCCCATGCAGGCTACGGGGTTCTGGGGCTGAAGGAGGAGTACAGGGTCCCTGCCCAGGAGTCTGCCAGCAAGGCATGCATAGAATTCTGCAGGGCAGTGTGTGGTGAAGCTAACCGCTCAGGTCTGGGTCACAAGGACCCAAGTTCAAATTCTGTCTCTGACATTTCCCTGGCAGCAGGACCTTGCTCAGCTCTGTTCTTTGTGCAGTGGGGATATTCTGATACCTCTTTCAAGCACTTTTGTGAGGGTTAATGAACAACTGGAGATAAATCACTTTGTCCAGTGCCTGGCCTAGAAGAAAAGTTCAATGAATATTAGTTATTACCATTCCTATTCCTGTTAGAGGAGACTAAGTGTCATCAGCACTTGGAGAGGGAGTCTGCTGGGGACACGCAGGGCAACCGACCCGTGAGCTCCATACTGTCCAGCTTTGACTGAAAGCCCCACCTTCCAGGAAACCCCTCATACCTGCAAACTGGGACAGCTGGTCACCCTAACCTAAGTCACCCTAACGTGGCTTCATGGTTCATTCAGACCTTTGCCTGAATGTGACCGATCCCTTCAGATGCTGAGCTCTGCTGCTGACTGCCCACAGTCACCCTCCTAGACTCAGCCCTGCTCCGCCCAACCCCAGGCAGTTAGTTTTTGGCTCCACCCCTGGACACTGTTAGCCAGGGGTGGACACGTGAGGGCAGACTGGATCAGAGCTCTGTGTGGATCGGGCCTCGTCCCCCTTGCTTGCTGCCCCCCCACTTCCTGTCTCCTGACGCATGCCCTCCACAGGTCCTTGTACCCAAGCCCCTGCCGAGGCTGTGCTCCTAGGGACCCTCACCTAATACAGAGGCAAGCACTGTGTTTGGTTCAGTTCCATTTTATTAATAATAAATGATACAAAATAATAATTAACATTTCATAGGGATTGTTTACACTTTCAGAGTCCAAAATTGTAATGTATTCTTTGGTGAGGAATGTGCATACCGTTTAGAGCTTTTTTTAGTGTAGATCTAGATTTACAGAATAATCAGGCAGATAGTACATAGGGTTCCATATGCCACCATCCCAGTTCCCCGACCCCTGTTTCTTCCATCATGAACATCTTGCATTGTGTGGAAATGTGTTACATTTAGGGAGGCAGTATTGATGCATTTTTCTTTTCTTTTTTTTTGGGGGGGGGGGTAATGGTGATTGGACTCAGGGGTACTTAACCACTGAGCCCCAGCCCCCTTAACTTTTCATTTCTTTGGTTATACATATGTGGTGGCCCATCACATGTGCAGTCATACATGTACCTAAGGTAACAATGTCCGTCTCATTCCACCATCTTTCCTGCCCCCATGCCCCCTCCCCTCCCTGCTCCTCTTTGCCCAATCAAAGTTCCTCCATTTTTCCCATGTACTCCCCCTCCCCATTATGGATCAGCATCCACTTATCAGAGAGTACATTGGGCCTTTGGTTTTTTGGGATTGGCTTACTTGGCTTAGCACAATGTTGTCCAACTCCATCCATTGACCTGCAAATGTCATAATTTTATTCTCTTTTAATGCTGAGTAATAGCAGTTATAAAGAATACAAGCAACAATAAGTGCAGGCGAGGATGTGGGGGAAAAGGCACACTCATACACTGCTGGTGGGACTGCAAATTGGTGCAGCCATTCTGGAAAGCAGTATGGAGATTCCTTGGAAAACTGGGAATGGAACCACCATTTGACCCGGTTATCCCACTCCTCAGAGTGCGATACCCAAAGGACTTAAAGTCAGCCCACTACAGTGACGCAGTCACATCGATGCGTGGCTCATAACTGAAGTACATTGCTCCCTCTGGGCTCACTTGTGGTGTCTTCCCGTTCTGCTGGCTTTGATAAACATGTAATGTCACGTCTCCATCATGACACTGTGTAGAAGACTTTCATCTCCTGCACTGCGCCCCTCCAGAGGGAAGCCTTTAACTAGCCTTTGAAGAGGCGCTGGGCACTCTGGGGCATTCTGATGGGGAGGAGGGGGGCCAAAGCTGTCATAGCAAGAAGCAGGGGAGCGGGACACAGTGCCCGGAGGCTGGCCGGGCTTGGGAGGCAAAGTCCTCCATTTTGGACTTTCCTGATTAATTGATACCAGACAGAGAGCTTGGGCTTGCTCACCTTGGGAGAAGTGAAGAGGGAGGAGGCAGCTCATCTGTCTCTTAATCATACATGTCTGTGTGTGCGCGTGTGTGTGCACACACACTCAGGCACACATACCACCTGAGGACCCTCCACGGTTCGGGGATGTACACCCAGCAGGGGTTTCTGGCACCCAGCTTTGCCCGAGTGTGCCCTTGGTGGGATGAGGTTCCAGGGCTCTTGTCCAACTGGCATCTAGAGGCCATCCTGTGGCTGATGCGCAGGTGCGAGACTCTCTGAGTGCAGGATGGCCTCAGCAAAAAAGCAAGGCGCTAAGCAACTCGGTGAGACCTTGTCTCTAAATAAAATAAAATTTTTAAAAAAGGAGGCTGGGGATGTGGCTCAGTGGTTGAGTGCCCCAAAACAAACAAACAAAAAACAGCACTTTCCAAGTTGCCTGTAATGAAGGATTCGTTTTTAAATGTTTTAAACTTTTTGATTTATCACAGGCTGATCATTTTGTAAAATACAACAAAAATGAATTATTATAAAAGTGAAATTTAAAAATCAGATATACAAAGTATCAGCCCATTTTTTAAAAATTACTAGATACAATAGACATAAGGAAAACGTATCCTGTCAAGTTGCTCTAAAGTTTCCAAATACTCTCAGTTTCTATCCCGAGTTTACCCAGGCCAGTATTAACCAACCAGAGGGCAGAGGGGACCCGTCTGGTCCCTGTGCTCAGAACAGCACAGGACCGGCCAGCCCCAGGTTCAAACCCTGCCTGTGAGTTTGGAGCAGCCAACCTCTCTGAGCAGCATTTTCCTCCTCTGCACAGTGAGGCACCTGCTCGCCGCAGGTGCTTCTGCTTGTCTCTGCCAGGCCTAGTGCTGGTAGCCTGGGGAAGAGGCCGTTGGATACAGTCCCTGACCCCAGATGGGGGGGACATGAACATGGGCAAAGCCAGAACCAAATCTTGATCCCAGCACAGTGGAGGCTCGTGCAGAGGCTCCGGGAGGCTTTTCAGCTGGGAGTGGAGAAGGCTCTGCAGTGGAGCAGTCAGCGCAAGGGTGATGGGAAGAACGCGCCCTCTGCACCCCGAGCATCTCACACCTGTGCCCTGAACACAGGGTGGCCTCTAGATGCCACTGGGCAAGAATCCAGGTTCCTTAAACCTCATCTCATGTGACAAGAAGCTCAAGGCTGGGCCGGCCTGGGTTGGAATGGCCTCAGCACATGAGCCAAGAAATGTCTGCGAGTGACCTGTCCCCAGCCTTGGGGATCACCCAGGTGGCATGGAGGAGAGATGGGGTCCAGGAGATCACTGAGGAGGTCCTGGTGGCCTGTGGGTGCCACCGTGAGGTTGAGCAGATGAGACGTGGCAGGGTTCAGTCGCTTAGTGGCTCATGCAGAGCAGAGCACGTTGGAGTGAGGCCAGGCCCCAGAGCTCAGCCCCTCGGGAGCCTGCGGTCCGCCGTTCACCCCACATCCCGGCCATCTCCAGGGCTCCCTGACAGCGGGAAAAATTCATAGCCATTGATTTTGTAATTAACAGTTTATCAATGCCATCGATACAGGCGTGCTGATGGATTGTGGAGAAATTAATCTTGCAATGTTATTTTATTTCATTTTTGGTCGAAGACACCTGCCAATTTTGGCCTCCTGGGGGAAGGAGAGGAGGGTGACTAGACAGGGAGGGGGAGCTGGACCGAGTCAGGGAATCCAGGTGGCCAGGGTCCAGCCTTGCAGGGACCAGCCACATTTTGATTTACATTGTAAATGACTGTAAATGACTTAGAGTATAGGAACAGAGCCACGTTCCATCTCCCAATTGGCAAAGGAGTCCTTGCTGGCTTGGTAACTGTGGAAAAATGTGGAGGAGACTTGGGTATGGCCAAGGATTACCCAGCCCTGCAAGGACACTCCCCCCAGACCCAGTCCCCCCAATAATGATAATAATAGGTAAATACTAGGTGCCAACTAAGTACCTGGTGATGTGCCATTTCCTTTAACCCTTACCACCAGCTTATACGTCTTTGTGCCTATTTGCTCTGTACAGATAAAGAAACCATCTAAAAGGGGCTAAGTAAACTGGCCAAAGTCACACAGCATATGTGCCTCTACAGTCTTTTCTGTCATTCTACTGCTCCCAACCGAGAAAGAGGCCAGATCCTGGAGGGCACAGGCAGAGTATAGCCCCAGAGGGTTGGGAGAGTCACCAGGAACAACCCAGTCCTCCCACCTTTGGCCAGCCTTGGGCACCACAGTTCAGGGTCATCGAGGAAGGTCAAAAGAAGTCTGGTTCTCTCTCCCCAGGGAGTGGGATTCCCTTTGACTCAAATGCATGTTAGCGTAGTGTCAGCAGCACCTCCCTGCTGTGGTGAGAGTTAGGTGCATTTCATTCAAATCCTCAATTCGTGGCCTAAATTCAAAGTCCCTCCCATTTATTTTTTCATCTTTTGCGGTGCTTGGGATGGGACCCATGGTGTCACACATGCTAGACAAGCACTCTGCCACTGAGCCACCCCAGCTCCCTCCCTGAGGATCTAGAGCCCTCCTCCAGCCCCTGCATCACTGGGCCCCAAGTGCCCACCACGGGGCTCCCTGACCTGCTCGGCCCTGTCTCTGTGTCTGCAGCTGGGACCTGCAGCATTCACGACTGCACTGTGCACCAGAGGAGCTGGCGCCAGCAGGATGGTGACAGTGACAGTGATGGTGATGGCAATGGCGACCTGCTCCCTGGGCATGCACTGGTGACACCTACTGTTCTAGCCCTTAGGCAGGATAACTTCTTTAACCCTCTGAGGTAGTTATCCCATTTCCCAGATGAGGAAAGTGAGGCACAGAGAAATTAATGTCATGCATCTGGCAGGTGAGGGACGCAGACAGCCAGCCCCTCTGGCATCAGTGTGGGTGCCTCCTGGTGGCCCCTCCCTTAGACGCAGGTCTGCGCCCCAGCTCTATCGTGTCCTCTGTGGCCTCGGGCCCGCAGCGTGACCTCTCTGTGCCTGTGCGGCCGGCCACTCACACGCGCCTTGTGCCTGCAGATTCCATGTACATCGAGGACCTGGAGGCCGTGCAGAAGCTGCAGGACCTGCTGCATGAGGCGCTGCAGGACTACGAGCTGAGCCAGCGCCACGAGGAGCCGCGGAGGACGGGCAAGCTGCTGCTGACGCTGCCCCTGCTGCGACAGACGGCCGCCAAGGCCGTGCAGCACTTCTACAGCGTCAAGCTGCAGGGCAAGGTGCCCATGCACAAACTCTTCCTGGAGATGCTGGAGGCCAAGGTCTGACGGCCCGCCCACAGACCACGCCCACCCATGGACAGATCGATGACCGACCGCGGTGGAGCCCTCACAGCCACCAGCCTCGACCTCGACCCCTGTATCATGGCTCTAAGCTGTGCCAGTGGAGGGGCCTCCGCCTCCTGGCTGTGTGTGCAGACTCCTGGGTGCAGTGGGGTGGGTGGACGGGCACGGGACAGGACGGGAGGGAAGGGGCGTGGGGCTCATCTGTCACCCGCTTTTTCTTTGGTATGTCTTTCCTTCTCACCAGCAGTGCTGAGGCCTGGCCCAGGGCTGACGCCCCTTGGGACTGGAGACCACCAGAGGAAGTGCCCACCATCCCTGCCAGGCCACCAGGAGGCCCTCCTGGGGTGCGGGGCCTGGGTGGGCAGTGCTCAGGGCAGGTGGAGGGCAGCAGCAACTCCCGGAGGCCCTGCCTGTGCCGAGGCCCTCAGCCTCCCTCCTCGTGAGGCTAATAGCTTCCACAATCCAGATGGCTGCCTCCTCCTCCTCTCAGCCCCCTACCCTCCCCACACACACAGCAGGAAACCTGGGTGTCCCCGGGCTAGATAGAACCCCTGGGCCACCGCCTCCTTGCCCTCCCACCTGCCCGCCACTCATCTTCCTCCTCCTCCTCCTCTCCTTGCTCAGGAGCCCCCTGCCCCACCTCAGCTCACTTGAAATGACTTCAGCCAGCAACAGTGACCCCAGGGCTCAGGGAAGAGCAGGGGGCTCCTCTGCTCCGTCCATCCTCCTCCTCCTCCTTCAGAGCAGGTCCAGACCAGAGGGTTGGTGGGAAGTTCCCGCCCAAGGGCATGGGGGACTCTCTAAGGCTGGCAGTTGTGGGAGAGGTGAGGGCAGGATGGGAAAGACCCCAACCAACCTCTGCCCAGAACACAAACAATCAGCAGCAGAGAGCAGGTGCAGGTGCAGGGGAGCCCTGGAGATGGGGTCCAGGGGGCCCAGCTGCCAGTTCCTTTCTGGCTCCCAGAGCAGTAGACCCCAGAGATACCCATCCTCTGCATTCCATAGGGTCAGGTACACAAGGGCCACCAAGGAAATTTGGTGGTAGCTCTCCTGGCCAGCTCTGGGCAGGAGAGTGTCTTGCTGCTACATAGGGGACCCACCAACCCCCTTTGCCCAGGACTTTCCCAATTTTAACCAGGAGCATTCTGTGTCCCAAGAAACCCCTCAGTCCGGCACATGGGCACGTTTCAGTGGCTGGCCACTCGGGTGGCATCCCTGAATCCTTGTACCTGGTGCTCAGGGGGTGGCCGAGGGCAGCCTGGAGGATCTGGGGTGGGGGGAACAAGCCCCTGCCAATCAGCTGCCTTCACGGCAGGGGTCAGAGCAGACCCTCCAGGGACACTGCAAGTCCCAAGCCCAGCCTTTCTAACTCCGCCTCCCCTTCCTGGGAGGGGCAGGCAGATCTCTGTTGTCTGGGACACCAAGTGTCTTGTCCAGCTTTTCCGGCAGAAGAGGTTGCTGTTTCTGGGGGACACCAGGTGGACCAGAAACTGCTGGCCCTGAGCCACATTGGGACAGGCTGAGGTTACCAGGAGATTCCCCCTTTTCTTTGGCCTGTGGGGAGTCTGAAGGCCTAAGTTGCTGGGTGAGCTGACCCTGAAGCTGCTGGTGCCCTGACCTCACGCTGCCCTTGTCCCCGACCTGGGTGGGTGTGCATGGTCACTGCAGTCACCACTTCGGCAATAAGGAACCCAAGCTGGACACCAGGTCATAACTAGGGGCCAGGGCCAAGGCCTGACCTGGAGGGTCCTCAGCAAGGGAACTTGGGGAGTGCTCTCTGGGGTGTCCCCAGCTTCACTGCTGCATGCCAGAGGAGGGTGCCGAGGGCAGCCTCTCATTACCAGGTACCAGCTTGTCCGCACTGTCACTTCCTGTCCAAACTCAAGGGGACTTGTGCTCGCTGGCATTTGTGTCCACCTTTTCTGGGGAAAATGGCCTGTCACACAGGCCCTGCTTTGGAGCAGGTGGGTGTTCTCCACGGGGGCACCTTAGCCGGCTTGTGCCTGGTGCTTCTGCAGATGCCCCAAGTCAGACCTTCCCAGCAGAGGGGGGGTGCAGGCCTGCGCGGGGAGCTGCTGTCACAGGAAATGCTCGTTACCATGGGAACTCAACCCAGTGGGAAACCCTGGTGTAGACTTGGGGGGCCCCTGGATACCCAGAGGAGGGCAGCGGCCGATTTCTTTGTTGTCAGCCCAGCTAGATGTGGGAGCCGGGACTGCGAGAGGAGAGTTCAGGAAGCCCTGTGCCCCCAAATCACAGAGTCCAAGTTTGCCCCCAAATCTGCCGTTTCTAGAAAATCTGTAAAAAGGAAACGACCCTTCTCAGTTGTACACTCATGATACAGGTCATTTGAAACCAACCAAGAAATAAAAACATGGCAATTCAACTGCAGAGAAGGTGGTGCTGGCTGGGTTTTGTTTGGTTTCCTTGTTCCCGTCCTTTCTAAAGGTTCCCGATGGCACGTGTGAACTTGAGGGTGTCTCCTGTTTTTGGCCTACGTAAACTTGATGGATTTCCCAGGCTGCAGTTTGAGGACTGAGCCCAAGGCTCTAGGGAGCAGGAGATCAGGGCCTCCAAGGAACAACCTGCCCCATCCTGTTGGGCCCCCTACCCTCCAGCCTCTGCCCTCCCCGGGGCCAGGGAGGAGGAGCGGGGGATGGAGACAGGCCTGTGACAAAGACCACACAAGGGACCAGAGTCTGTGCCCACAGAACAGCACCAAAGAAAAGCACTATGTTGAAAGATGGCTTTATTTTCTAATAATGATGATACGGCTGGAATGGCTTCTTGAGATGTATATATTTTTAAATGGCAGTCCCTTGTGGCCGCCTCACCCCCTGTACGTAATCCCACCCCTGTCTGTGTTCCCCCAAAGACCTCTATGTAAATCACATTGCCCTAGGATTCTTCCCGCCCTGGTCCCATGTATCTGGAATCTAATAAATAAGGAAAGCCCTGTTGGAGAGTCTCTGCACACGTTATCTTTTCAGGCTTGCTGTTCTCTGGACAGAACTGCTGCCAGGTGTCCAAGCTAATGCAGGAAAGGCCATCAGGGAGCCACCTCAGCCTCCAAGGTCTCAGGGTGGGGTGGGGTGGGCTGGGGGTTCCATGGACATTTTAAAAGCATGATCAGCATTTACCTGGATGCATGAGACACCAGATCAATCCCCAGCACCACAACCAGTCAGCCAACCAACCAATCAATCAAATTGTGATCAGCAGCAAAACTTAGAAAGTACAACTTGAGAAGTCTGATGCCAACCTGAGAAGCCCTGGTACTGCTTTTAATGACACTTCTTGTTTTCATTAGTCCAGAGACACGGGACGTTAAGATACACATGATATACATGAATAATAATGCATAAGTTCAAAATGATCTTAATGATTAAGTAGTTCAATTGGATCAAAGTGTCCATTGGATCCAATGAAGCATAAGCCCTTTAAAAAAGAAAGATATGCATGAAGCACACACAGTCGTCTTTTTGAGATTTTGAAATGCATTCAGGTGCATTTGACACCACAGCCCGCCTGCTGTTTGGGACACTCAGGACCAGAGGGAAGCAAGAAAAGACCCAGAAGAGATCAAAGAGGACTGTATCAGGATGTCTTTTGTTGAAAGTAAAAGACACCCGTTTACTGGCTTATGGAGATTTATTGCCTGTGATATGTATATATGAAATCTAGAAGTGGTGTGGGTCAGCAAAGGAAAACTGGAAACCTCCCCACCTTGTATATTTTGCCCCATTTGTGAATTTATTTCACCCCCAAAGAGGGGAAACCACCCAGAATCCAAGGGAACTGATCCTTACCTGACCTGAATCTTAGCTGTGCACCCAGACGTGTCCTCCAGGGACCCACTTCTGGCTCAAAGACTGTAGCAGCTGTTTTAAGTCTTGCTGCAGTGAACACCCAGACAGGCAAATCCTCCCAAACCCAGGGTGTGCACTCTCCCCTTTGCTGGCTCACCCTCTGTCCTCGTTCATCTATCACCTGGCGCGGTGGGAGTTCGTTGTTTAGTAGGGAAGGCTGACGTTGAACCAGTTTTTGAAGAGGGTATCTCACACGGAGGCTCTGCAACACGCGGGAGAGGGGAACAGGCGAACCAACCAACCTGGCTTGTGGTGGCTGGGATGATGGGAATTTGTTGTCCAGGGACACCAGCCCTGGAGAAGCAGGTCAAGAAGCAGGTCAAGGCTGAGAGCTGATGGCGTGGAGGGAGCCAGGTGAGGCTGGGGAAGTGTATTTCAGGAAGAAAGAGAGACACTGAGGGGGTTGACCTATTCCAAGCTTGCTCCGGAGACTGGAAGAAAACCATCCAGGTTGGTTGGTGGCTGAGAGTGAGGACAAAGAGAAGGCTGGACATGGGAGGGGTCAGATCATGCTGAGCTTTGTCACCTTTGGTGAGGAAGTTGCTCCACTTTGGGAAGAACAATGGGAAGCTGTGCAGGGTTCTCAGCAGGGGGTGACATGCTGAGATGGCCACATCTCTGGGTGAAGCTGAGCTTTGGGTCCAGACTAGAGCAGGCTCAGGGGTCTCTGCAGGATACAGCTGACTGCACTGGGCGCAGGTGCTCCTGAGCAACCTTAGTGGGATGTTCCCTGATTCCCAGCCACCAGCAGTCTATCCCCCCTATCCCGCATGCCTCACCAGGGGCCATCATTCTATGGAAGAGCAAGCCCCAGTGAGGTTAACCAACTTGCAGAGATTGGATTTGAATCCAGATCCCTATGAGTTCAACTCAAGCCTCTTTTCTTAACCCCACGCCATAGTGCAGGGTAGTCCTCTCGGGGGTCAGGTGAACAGCAATCCCTCAGTAAAGTCCACTCCTTCTTCCCATCCTCCTCCCACCAGGAGGAAGCATGTGACTTTGCAGGAGTCCTCTCTAGCCACAGATGTCTTCTCTTATCCCCCTTGAGAGGGTCAGCTCAGGAACTTCCATCAGGGCAGGAAAGGACACACAGAGGCTTCCCAGGTGTCTTTGTGTGGAGGAGCCATGGGGCCACTGGAAGCAGGATTGCTGTGTCCACTTGGTGGCTAAGTGATGTCACCCAGTGTCATACTCCATTTAAAGTAACTGAGCTAAAATGCTGCTCTGGCCTTCAGATCACAGGACCTGGAACAAAATCCAAACTTGTTCCTTCCTATCTTTGGAGAAAAAAAAAAATTAAGCCTAATTTTGTGGGTCAATATTATGGTGACATTTTGATCAATATTCCAAAGATCTCCCTGGGTAAGGTTCAGATTCATTCAGAAGAAGTCTCTGCTGTATAGTGTCAGAGGTCAGAGCGCAGACAGAAACAAGTCCTTGTCTCCAGACAAAGCCCAGAGGACGAC